CGTGATTCTGCAGGGCACGAATTTGGGCCGCTAGCTCTTCTGGTCTCACTCACACTGAGTTGGCTGAGGTCTGGGTGGTCTAGGCTGGCCTCGCCCAGGATGATTTTATTTTTCGTAGCCAGTAACATTCCCAACACTGCCCAGCCATCGTCTTCATATTTCTCATTTATCTCCAGGAACAGAAAACTAGGACAGGTGAGCAGTCTAAGCGAAATCAGTGGTTTAATGGAAGAAAAGATTTTTGTTTTTCCAAGATTTAAATTTATATTAAAGTAGCTTTTAAAAAATATAATCAAATGCTATCTATATTTTTTTTACTGTTCAAATAATTTTTAATAACAAGTAACATTTCAGTAGTGCTTACTATATATAACCCCAGGTACTAGTCAAAGAATCTTACATGAATTATCATATTTAATCCCCCAAAGAATCCTGTTAGGTCATTGTTGTTACTCTCCCCATGTCCAGATGTGAGGCCCCTGCCGGGTGGAGTGACTGTTCGGTCCGCAGGCACGGAGCCATCGTTGGCAGTCCGACCCGAAGCCCGTGCTCTTCGCCAGCACGCCGTCCTGCTGAAGGACGCTCCTCCGAGTGCAGCGGCTGCGGCGCGGCCCTGTGTCACGTGAGGTGCATTAGCAGTCGCGTACCGTGCAGCACCCAGGCCCCCAGCTCAGTTTGTTATCTGCGTTTTTAGTAATTGGTCCCTAAGTGCCTTAGATGGGAAGATGTTTTAATACAGAAAATGAAGGTGTCCATCATTTCCAGGACACCTTGACCTCTAATATAGGTGACAGAAACTTCTCCCAGATCTAGAATCATCCTGTTATTTTATTTTATTTTACTTTTCGTTGTTGTTATTAACCCTCACCTGAGGATATTTTTCCATTGGTTTTTAGAGTGGAAGGAAGGGAGGGAAAGAGAAACATGATGTGAGAGAGATACATCACTTGGTTGCCTCCTATACAAGCCTGACCTCAGGGCCAGGGATCAAGCCTGCAGCCCAGCTACATGCCCTTGACTAGGAATTATCCTGATATTTTAGAAATAGTTCATTTCTTAGCAACTCCTGGTATACAAAAAACAAACAAACAAAAGGCACGCCTTTATCAGATTTTTAATAGTGATAAAATATCTAAAAGATACTACCATCGTACTTTATAAGATCTACCTTCTCAAAGAAAATCTTGGTGGCCAGTATGTATTATACTACGTCAAACAATAAAAATTGATTTCAAAGGAAAAAAAGTTTTAATATTTGATTTAAATAACACTTACTTGCCACAAATCTATACCACTGCTGGACAGATCATGTCAAATATTTTACGTGATGTGGGTGGAGCAGGAAACTGTGCAGAATGAATATGAATGAAGATCTTTTTAAATTTTATGTGGTAAAGGACCTTGCAAGCATAGAAACAATATGGCGTACAAAATTGAAGAAAAAGTACTTTTATTTAGCAATGTGCGGACATTCTGCAAGAGCTTAGCAGCTTTAGAAAAGAAGGATCTCTTACTCTTTGAAACAGCATGGGGGACCTGGAGAGTACTATGCTAAGTGAGATAAACCAGTCAGAGAAAGACAAATATCACATGATCTCACTTTTATGTGGAATCTAATGAACAAATTAAACTGAAAACAAAATAGATGCAGAGACATGGAAGCATGGAACAGATTGATGAATCTCTGGGGCGGGGGGTATGGGACAGGAAGAGAATAACCAAAGAACTTACGTGTATATATGTATAACTCATAGACACAGACAACTGTGTGTAGAGGGCAGCGGGTGGGGTGGGAGCGGGGAAGAGGGGCTTAATGGGGAAAAGGGCGGGGCATCTGTAATACTTTCAACAATAAAGATAAATTTAAAAATAAATAAAAGCTTTCATAAAAAAATTTATACACACACACATATAACTCATGGACACACGAGTTATATTTATGAGTTCAATTTATATATATATCAACTTAGCCAAACTTTTCAGCATGTATGCCCTCACACATACTTTTATGTTCTAGCCATACTAAATAATTTATTGTTGTTAAATAGTTTCTTTTGGGGGAGAGGAGGTTGGGATACAATTTTTATATGTATTACAAAGTATTTATAACCAACATAACAACTGCCTGTGTACATCTCATTTTACGAACACTTCATTTTAAGAGAGGGAGCAATGCAGTGGAGCCCCACTGTGGACCTTCCCTGGTCCCTGTCTGCCTTCACCACCAAGCTGCCACTTGTGCAGATCGTCACTGGCATTTCTGTTTCCTAATCCTGTGTCATGCTGTTGTACTTTTCCAAACTTGACCTGAATTGCGCCCTTCTATGGCACATCTACAACTTTTTTTCTTTTCCCCATGTGTCCAATTCATTCTTTTTCACCACAGTATAGATTTTCACTGTATGAATACCCATTATTTATCCATTCTCCTCCTGGCAAGCATATGGGGGGGGGGGGGTGCAGAGCGCGCGTGCGCACACTAGCTAGAGTTTATGGTTGTTTGTTTTTAAAAGTATTTTCTGACACCAAAAGAAGTCTCTACTCCTTCTGAACTCCAGTAACACAACTTTTAAGTTAGCATTCGTGCCCTTCGTTATAATTTTTTTTCCCTTTTATATCAGATGGAAAGCTCTGTGAGGACCGAATTCCCCAAGGTGAACATTGTCGGGATAATAAGTATTTGATTTTGTTGAATGAATTACACTTTGTCTATGTACAGATCTTCAGCATCTTTGTGTTTATCCCCTTAGTTACATGGTGGTGCCTCCTGGTGACTTTTCTTTGTAGAAAGCTGCGGGTAACAGGCCACCGAGGTGGAAATATGGGACATAAATAAAGATAAAAACTTTAAATTGAGAAATTGTTTGCTAAGTTTGCAGGCAGTGCAGGAACAGGTATTTTGTGTTTAGCATCCCAGGGAAAAGTTTGGCAGAATCGAATAATTTTACCTGCACTTGGCATTACAAACAGAGGGGAGCTCACCAATTCATATTATGGGAAGACTCTTGCCTTTGTTCATCATTCTTATTAGAAAGCTTAGTATTTGCTTTTTGATCATTTTGAACTTGTACCCGGAATGGAATTGCCCAAATTCGTTCTTTTTCTCTGAAATTATTTTATTACGATGTTGATCTTTCTCTGCAAAACCACTTAGCAGGTTTCACGGCTTACTGCCTATCGAATTTGATTTCTACAACAGCTATGGCCGAGATAAACAGGTCTGGAATCTTCCATATTTTACAGGTTAGGGACACTGGAAGGGAAGTGTGGGGGAGGCTGGGGGACCTGCTAACGGTCCTAGAACAGTACCAGAAACCACATCTTTCAACCTAGCGCTGGCCCTGTCTGGACATTAGAGTTTCAGTGCTTAAAATAATCGAAAGTGTTAATCAAGATGTTATTGCTTTGTGAGCATGTTAATAGATAATTCAGGAACATGATGCTCACTTGACAGTGTATCATCGTAATGTAATGTGGGGAGTTTCTCATCAGTGTTAGTGGTGATTGGTGAGTGCCTCTTTACTGCCCTCTTTGTTAGAAGGGTTCAAAGAAAAGCTTCAACCAAACATGGCAAAGAGCATTTGTGACTGGTGTGTATTTTAAGGGAAAGAAAAATCTTGATAGGAAGGTGTGACACAGCCTAAAGGTAAAATATCTGAGAAGACAAATGGCTTTTTGATAGCTTGAGACCTGCTGATGAATGAAAACTCTTCGGTATATAGACTGGTGCGACTGATCACTCAAATTCTCATTTTTAAAAATGCAGAAGCAGTACACTTAGAATATTGTCTTCATGTCAGAAATGCACCTTCGTGCTTGAAAATGATAAAAAATTACAATCGATCTTTACAACTGTTCTGTTCATCTTTATTGATCAGGTGCAAGAAAGATAAATCGCAGCCCAAATAAGATTATAGTAAATGTTAGCATTGGAGGGGACTGGAGGTTGATAGAGAGCCATTCATCATCTCAAATGGTGACCTGTCCATTCTGCAGCCACCCTGAGTCGGCTGCCTAATCACATACCTATTGATTTTATCTACATCCAGCAAACCTGGATGTGACTGTCATTGGACAACCCAGATTGTTAAACGCACAGGGGTCACTGGTGTGAAGAGGATTTCATTTTCATTTTCTCACCAACCAACAATGACTTATGAAAAAATAAACTACCCCTAGTAATGCATGAAACCTGAGTGATTAGAGAATTGCACAATAGACCACTGCATTGTGTTCTTTTGTACTGGGATGCATTTCGCAGGATATTTCATTGAGTCTAAAGGCTCATGGGGTCATTGAGGCCACCGCTGCAGACAGGTTTCAAAGTAACCAGCCAGAATGGATAATGTTTAATTTTAAGTCCCCAGGAAAGGTGTTACTTTGCTGTTACAACTTGATTTATGTTGCTTATGTATTCATTCGTATAATAGTGGAAATAGTTTTTGGTATAAGAATTACATAAATCCACCCCTTTGTTCTTACTGATTAACTTGTTGTAAATGTTGATGTTCGTGTGATCACATGGATGTGATTGAGCACTTTCTGTTCCCTAAATAATCCAATTTGAAGACACAAGTCCAGTGTGAGAAGCAGTGATTCTCTGATATCCTAGGTGGACCACTGGAATAATAGGCAAATGTAGTATGTGTGAATTTCATCTTTCAGTCTCAAGCATCTTTTTATCTCAAACAGTAGTCAATTCCAAATAAGGGAGATCTAAATAATCCTTCAAAAATACGTTAGGAATTTTATCAGAAGGATCAAATAATGATGAATTGTATCATTCATCATTGATACAATGATGAAAGTTGATACACTATGAAAGTTGACTGTAATTTCAACCTATATACCTGTACAGAATCCACTCCACTTGTGCAAGAGATCTTTCTCCTACTGCTTGAGTGGCTGAAAAGAGAGCTTATGTATTTTTTGTCATTGTACATCTTGCACACATTTTGTCCTCTTGGAAAATGAAAACTGTGTTCAATCTTTATCCGCAGAGCTCAGAGTTCTACAAAGTCACCACTGAACAATATCAGAAAGCTGCTGAAGAGGTGGAAGCCAAGTTCAAGTGAGTTTTTAATAGTATTATAATTACTGTTCTTGACAAGATGAAAGGACAACTGGATTGCTTTTTGAACAGGAGATAGTTTGGTATATAGCCCTCTGGAATACTTGGAAATATGTTTCAGTGGTTGAGATGGATCCCTGTTATCTGCTATAGTGGAATTCAAATGCAAGGAAAAGACATCCCATGAAAGCTTGTTACAACTCAATTTTATGAATTAAGGAAATAGCAATGGTAATAGAATTTTCATTTGGAATAACACATAAGATAGGATACCCTTGTCTATGAAGGTGATATTAAATTGCCACCTCTATTAATAGAAACATACAAACCATTCACATTCGTATAATAAAATTATGGGCATGTCCAGTTGGGGTGTCCCCTTTTCTCATGTTTAAGCTGTTTTCATTTCTTCATGTGTACCTTGACCGCATTTAAATCACAGACTTTACCTTACCCTCGATTATGAAGGTGACGTTAAGTTGCTACCTTTGTTAATCCTTGGAATGTTTAAGTGAATGTTCTGTAATTGATGGAACAAAGTGTCCGTGACCCATAGCCTTGTGCTTTTCCTCTGCTGCCAGTTCTCACATTAGATAAGAAGACATCATTCAGGATTTTCCTGGGCTGTATAAATAATTTTATTGTATAACCTCTGTTATTAGCACATGCGCAAATTAGCAAAGCAAAATAAAGGTGCTGTGGCAGGTGCGGTTGAAAGAGTGCATTGGGCTCTGACCTCCTTCCTTGTGTATGTTTATAAGCATTTGATAAAATGATTAAACCCTAAGGTGGAACGTTAGTACTTTCTGTTATAGTGCAATTTGTGTGGGAATAGATACTAGTGTTCTTTTGTTTTGTTTTGTTAATCCTCACCCGAGGATATTTTTCCATTGATTTTAGATGGTGGGGGGAGGGTGATGGAGAGGGGGGAAGAGAGAGTTTGAGAGAGACAGAGACAGAGGCAGAGGCAGACATCGATTGATTGCCTCCCGCACGAGCCTGACCGGGACCAGGGATCAAACCTGCAACCCAGGTACGTACATGCTTTTGACTGGAAATTGAACCCGTGACCATTCTGTCCACAAGCTAATGTTCAGACTGCTGAGCTAAACTGGCCAGGGCAATATTAGTGTAATTTTAATATTGTTTTAAAGATGGTTTGAGGTATATTTAAACAGACAAAAACCTCCATTCTTCTTTAGTGAATTACTCTTTAGGGGCAGGAAGGAGAGACCTCCAAGAATGGGGCATAAATCTCACTTTTGAAGGGTTAATGTGCTATCTTAAGAATTCAGATAGTGAATTGCACGTAGACCTGATTTTAAAGGTACACAACACGTGTATTTTTATGATTTTTATCTTTCCCTCTAATGACAAGCAATATTTTTTAACCTTTTTGTCTCAATACCATGAGAACCTTTGACTTGGCACCCTGAGTGTTTCTTCATTATAAGGTAATAGCTATACAAATAACTAAAGTTGGAAAGAAATAAAAGGAAATGAATTCTTACTAGAATGATCTATGAAGTCACCATAAAGAAGATAGTTTAGCTGAGGCTTAAAGAAGAGTTTTGGTACAAAGGAAAGGTATTCAGAAGAGAAATCATATAGTTGGCAGGTGACAAGTTAGTTAAGATCAGTGGTTTGACTCAGAGAGACCAGTGCAATATAAAGTTGGAAAGGTCAGTAGGGTCATTCATTAGCTCTTGTGCTGAGAACTACTTGGTCTTCATTTAGCAAGAAGTCTTTGGAAGGTATTTGACCAGGTGAGTACCTGGATTTCTGTGCTCCATTAGGAATGTTAGTGAATTACTGAGTGTGAGGTTTAATTGGAGGAATGAGAAACAAGACTGGATGTACTAGTTGAGAGGTCTCAATAAATGAGAGAGGAAAAAAAAGAGACCAATGCAAAAAAAGGTCATTGGAAGATGAGACGTGATGAGTGACTGGTGAGTTGGCCAGGGCCGCCACAACGAAGCATCACAGACTGTGGCTTACGCAACCAAAGTTTATTTTCTCACTGTTCTTGAGGGTGAATTTCAAGATCAAGGTGTCCACAGGGTTGGTTTCTTCTGAGGCTTCTCTCCTTGGCATACAGATGGCTGTTTTCTCCCTGTCTTCACGTGGTCTTCCCTATCTGTCTCCTGATCTCCCTCTCTTAGAAATCACATTTGACTAGGGCCCATTCTTTTGACTTCATTTTTACTTAACTACCTTCATCCAAATACACTTTCTGAAGTACCATGCATTAGGACTTCAGCATATAAATTTGTGTGTGTGTGGTGAGGGAGGGACACAGTTCAGCCCATAACACCTGGATAGAAGGGGCAAAGGAGACGTTAGCAGATTTGAAATTTGGTGGCAGCTGGAATTTATAAAGTTGAGTCTGGTTTTAGGTGAGAAGACTGTCTCTTCTGAAGCCCTGCCCATACTGTATCATTTAGCCTGGGCTAGCCTACTGGAGAAGGAGAGGCTACCAGGGTGGGAACCTTTTTCTAACCTCAATCGCAGGCCATACAAAATTATCAACCTAAAAATCAGCCTGCTCTATTTGGTCAGCTCGTTTGGTGAGGCGTGTGATGTCAGCTGGTATGCCCTCGGGCCGGACGTTCCCCACCCCGGTACACGGAGCACAGAAATAAGTGTCATGATGACTTACCTTCTCCGAGGCTACGTGGACCTGTAGGCTAGAGTCAATTCTAAGCAGAGCCTCAGCAGCATTCTTTCTCTTATCTTTATAACATATCACTCTTTATTATATCCTCCTCACATCTGTAGTAAAAAATGTAGCGTTTTTCAAGGAGAGGTCTTTGTACCCAGCTCCTGCGTGGTAACCTGTAAAACCTTGGTATTTCCCAAGTGATAAAAGTCCCTTTATTAGTCATGATGGGCCCCTCGGCCACGTGCTATCAGCTCAACCTCTGGGGAATTGGTGCTGGAGACTGAATTCAACCTCCTAGGCAGTCAATGTAGCAGCCTTTGTAAGGAGGCTTGAATGAAACCAGGCATTGAAGGTTCGGTGAGCTTCTCTGGCTGGTGATACTCTATGTTGTCACACACCGATACCAGAGGATAGTGCCTTTGGGGACCATGCATTTGGAACCCTCCCAGATTCTGCTGTATGTGTCTCTTCCTTTGGTTGGTATCATTTTCCATAATAAGTTGTAACTCTAAGTTTAGTAGCTTCCTGTGAGATCTGTGAGTCTTTTTAGTGAATTGTCGAAGTTTATGGTGACCTGTCGAAGATTTGGGAACCCCTTGGACTTGCAGATGATGTCAGAAGTGAGGACGGTCTTGGGGACCCTTGCCTTAGACTCTGTAGTTTGGCTGTCTCTAATACAGACAAACCCCCAGGTTTTATATACTGTGAAGTACCTTTAAGAGCTAGTTTTTCAGAGTAACTTTCATTATGTAATTGTTTTTCCAGCTACTACTTGCTAGACTGAGCTTCCTAGAATATTATATTTTGATTTGCAGTGAGTTCATTAGCTTCACACCTAGGAAGTGGTAGTGCTTTGGCTGTAAGAGATGCTTTTACCCTCTTTGAAGGCCCAGAGATTACGCAGGGAATTCTGTTTCACCTTGGGAATCTGGCCGTCCAGGGACTCCTGACGGCTTCATTCTAACCTGGGCAGTGTACTCTGGTCTGTCCACTGCATGCAGCCGTCCTGTGTAGGCACAGGCCCTGAAGGACTTTGAGGAGGGTTTAGTTCATCTTTTTCTGGTGGAGGGATTCATTTGGGTGCATCTTTGCTACAGGAGATGGAAGCTTTTTAAATTGTAATTATAAGAGTGATATTATATACCTGATGGGGGCCACACAAAATCCCCAGATAGAGAAAGCAAGCTGAGAGCATTTGAGACTGTATGCACTGAACACCGTCCCATCCATGCATCCTGCCGTGATGACTAATGGAATTATTTTAGGGATGCTTAAATATTAACGAACAGTTCAGGTCCTCAGTTTACAGTTTTGGCAATAAAACATGGAAACACTTTAGATTTAATGGGATTTTTCTGCTGTATCAATACCTTGTTCATTCCTAGAGCTCCTAGGTGATAGGCCCTCTGCTGATTCTGAATGTGCTGCTGGGAAGGAGGCCGGGAGGGCCTTGCAAGCATGGAACTCGGACGTCAGCAGAGGGGAGAGCAAGAGGAAGGCAGGCTTTTAAAACAGAGCTTTTTACAAGCACGAAGTTAGGTCTACTGTGATGGGATAATTACATCCCTAATAAGTGTCACGTTATTAAAAGTACTGTTTACCATTTTTTCCAGTGGGAATTAAACAATTTGTAGACAAAGAATTTGTGCTGTTTACTTGCCTGCAAGAACATTTTCCCTAAATAGCTTTAACATTTTAGCTATTAAACTCAAATCACTGAGCAAATCCAGCATTTTTTTACAGCTAGTTTTTATTCAACAGGTAACCTCTTCTTTTCCTAGTCCAACTACAACAGTCACTGTTCGCACTTCATGCCACCTTTACCACCCTCTTATTGGCTACAGCAACGTATGATGCTGCTTCCTACTTCTATGGTGATGGTATCAGGTGGTAGCTCAGTTTACTGAGAATCATGCCCTGTATTAATCCTTATTTTCCACCTTATAGGTATTAAATACAATATCATCCTAAATTAGGTTACATTGATAATGCTTAGCAAGGTCTTGCACAAGGTAAATGCCCAATAAAGACGAGATTTGATTATTTTTATTATTATATTACATGTTGTAATAGATCATGTTTGTTATAATATTATTTTATGTCCAACTCAGGTTATGAAACTGTGCACCATAGGAGAAATTTCTATTGTAAACAAAAATCTAACCCCCCCAAAAAAAAACCAACATAAGAAAGAGTTCTCATCCTCAGGGAGCTTGCAGGCCAGCGGGCGACAGCATGTAAAGCACTCGGGACAGGGTGGCCAAGCAGTGTGGGCAGAGTGCCACAGGGCCTGTGTCTTGATCAGCCTTAGCATCTGATCTCTTCGGGTGGATTAGAG